CAATGTCATTGGCCTGGTGATAGTGATGGTGGCCATCAATACTTGGGGAGTTAGCCTCTTCCACTTGGACACTTTCCCAGCCTGGGCTAAGGTCAGCAACATCACTGATCAGACTTAACACAAGTGGACAGTGACCTAGCACAGCCAGAGCGGAGCCATGGACAAAGAAACCCACCAGGAGCACACACCTCAGACCCATACGGAGGATATTCCTGCCACCAGATTCCTCCACCTGCCAGCAGGCGTGTTGGCTGTGTCTCCCTCCCAGCCTGCCTGCTTTCCTTACCACCAGCTCTCAAGAAAGCCTTCAGCCGCTCTCTCTCTCTTCCTGTGTCCAGCTCCTCAACTCTTTTGGAAGACCAGAAACATCGCAAGCCTTAGTGCTCTGAGGGGAAGCCTCACAAACTGACTGGCCTCACTAGGTTTTGTGTTACCTGTCATACCTTCCTAGGAATCAGAAATAGCCAGAGCTCTCTGCCTGTGCAGACCGCGAGACTGTGGCCACTCTTCTGGGAGAAAGCCTTACCATGTTTTCAAGCATTCCTATCCTAGCTCTAGAAAAGGTAGCCTTGGATCCTAAGGCTTAGGAGGTCCTCCTGTGGCAATCTGTACTTCTGTTAGTCTTATTTGCCTTAAGTCTCTCTTCAGTGGTCCCCATACCTCAGCACCAAATTCCTGAAAAGAAATAATATTCTTCAGAAAGAGGCTGACCTGATTCTGCCAAAGGAAAGAGATGGAAACAAACAAACAAACCATCCTGAGATCAGCTTCTCTATGTACTGTCATTAACAGGAGATTTAATTGCCTTGTGAGTGTGGTGAAGGAGGAAAAGGGTTCATACCTGTCTTATTAGGAAGACCAAAACTACTATTGAGACCACAGTATTACTGATATTACACTTACTTCTCCATTTAATAACTAGCTTGTTTCTGAGAACACAAAGTTCTAAGTGGTACCCAAAGGTCTTGCCAGTCTTTCCTATGCATCTGCGAGCCCTTTGAGGGGAAGATGTGCCTTGGGTTCTTTACAATGTATTAAATTCTAAGTGCTCAATAAATGTCTCTGATGACTACTGCAAAGTGAGGCTTCCTCCTTCCTCCTGAGGACCATGTCATTTTCCCCATCAGAAAAAAAATGGGTGGCTAGATGCAGATCTCTGTCATGTTTGCTGCCATCCTGCGCTTCTAATTTCACTGTCAGCTAAATGTATCTTAGAAAAGGAGTTCCCTGCAGTTACTCCATTGTTGTAACTGTTTCCATGACTACTATGTATATAGGTTTTATACCAGGCATATAGTCTTCTTGTGACAGTTTATCTGTTAAGTCAAATCTTTGGCTTACCAGGAGTCTGAGTTGTAAAGTTCCTTGTATGCCAGTGAACGCTCCCATGCTCCACAGAATGTGATCAACCAGGTTTAACCAGGAATATGACTACTTCTGCCTCACTAATTAGCACAGCCAGTATCTGGCCAATCACAACAGTGAACACTCTACAAGTCCATGCATGATGCCAACAATACAGCTGGCTTGAAAGCAATGATCTCTCTCTGCCATTTGCTTTAAAATGTTTCGAGTCAGGGTGTTTCTCCTATTGTTGGGATGGCTTATCACATTTCTGAACCATAACAGAACTCTACGACCCTGCCTTAGATGGTAAGACAAGCATAGGTAACATGATTTAGGGAGTAGAGGGGGTAGAGAAAGAACGTTTGACTCAAGGAAGAGTACTCGGAATTAATTTCCAATCACCTTCAGCGAGATGAGTCTTTCCCAGGGAAAGCCATGTTACATCCCGTGGCAGCTGCTGCCTGGGTCTCCAATGGCCACACCTTCCAACCATCACTGTCTGACCTGGCTGTGCTCAAGAAAATCACCTTCTTACCTAACCCAGACTCAGGCCGAACATGACATGACTGCCTGCCTCGAGGATGGAGTGGAAGGGGTTAACCTCTAGCTGTTCAATTCTAGGCCTTTTCTTGACAGGATTTGAGTTCCACTTTCTAGGATCACACAGAATTTGTGAAAACACAATCGTCTTACACCAGCTCATCCTCCAGCTGATGAAACGGAGCTGAGGACACTAAGTATGGCTACATCTTATTCTTGTAAGTTACATATCAAATTTGCTCAAAGCTGCCTTTGAAATCTCGTTAAGGTACCTGTATCCAAATTACCTTCAGTTGTCAACTTGAGACATCTGGAAAGAGGGAACCTCAGCTGAAGAACTGTACCCATTAGATTGGCCCATGGGCATATCTATGCGGTATCTTAATTGCTAATTGACATGAAAGGCCCCAACCCTTTGTAGGCTGTGCTATCCCTAGGCATGTGGACCTAGGCTGTAAGGTAGCTGAGCAAGCCAGAGGAAGCAAGCCAGTAAGCAGCATTCCTCCTTGGGCTTTGCTTCAGTTTCTGCCTCTAGGTTCCTTCACAGAGCCCTGGCTTCCCTTGATGATGGACTGTAACCTGTAAGCTGAAGAACCTGTAAGTTCCTCAAGTCACTTCTGATCAGAGTGTTTCATCGCAGCAGCAGAAAGGAGCGTACACAGCAACAGTAAGCACGCACAGGATCTCCTGCATAAGTGATGTCCTACATCCTACGTCTCGGTTTTTAAAAATGTCTACTTTCCTTCCACAGAGGGTGTATGCCGGCTATAAGCAGATGCACACCACTGTACCTAACGGACTTGAGCATCCTGGCTCTTGCTATAGTTAGGAGAGCTGGAACCAATCCCTTGTGGATACAGTGGGTTTCACTCGTAGACTCTGCTGTTGGCAAAAGCACTGCTGGACATTAGAATCACTCTCAGTACTGCAAGACACTTGAACCACTCGGACACAAAGGGAGTGAACCCCTCTACGTTCTCATGGGGCTGTCCTTGCTGAGTGAACACTGCACTGACACATCACTTTCTGTCCCAGTCCTGTGCATTTGCACATGAGACACGACACAGCTCACCACACCTTTCCCACTGCCCGGCCACTGTGGCAATGATTCAGGCAGTGCTCCACCCTGGGCTCTTTCTATAAAACCCCCCTCAGTTCTTTTTGCTTCCACTGTGCCTTATAAAACCACCAACCATTATGTCCTCCTTATTTGGCTGAATATGCTACAACTAGACTTTGGAAAAGAATATATTGAACTCCTGAAATTCTAAGTACCACAAACTCCCTATAAAGAACAAGCGAGGTCTTAAAATATTTTCCCTTCACTACTAAGTTCCTTTCCATAAGGCAATGCCCTAAGATAGGAAAAAAAGAACTCATTCATATGTGTCAGAGGCAAACCCTAGACTGGGAGCTTAAGAAAGGCTTGATTTGCTACAGTACAGTAGAGTGTTCTTTCATAAGGAAAGTTAAAGTAACATTTATAATGTGGGAGACCTCAACAGACAACAAACACCAGCGTGGTATCCAGGGTGTGAACTGCTCGGTGGAAATGAAAACATTACACATGTGGACGTGTGCACCATGACCAGAAGGACAGATGACAGGGAAATCATGCATCTTACTTCTCTCTGTGGGAATGAAAACTGAAGAAGTCAGAAAAAAAGAATCAGGACTTCTCCTTTACACCAGAAGTAGATACCTGTTTAACTCCGTAAAACACCAACTCTGGAGATGTCATAGTAATGACTCACAAAATGTCACCCTTTGAGAATATTAAATGTTAGGTGGTTTTTCCCTAGGTTTACAGTTTAAGGATATGTCTTTCAGGGCTCGAGAGATAGCTCTGATGTTAAGAGTACTGGCTGCTCTTCCAGAGGACCCTAGTTCAATTCCCAGCCACCACACAGCAACTTATAACTGTCCTTAACTCCAGTTCCAGGGTATCTGACACCCTCACACAGATACGCAAGCAAAACACCAGTGCACATTAAAATAATTTTTTTAAAAAAAGAATCATTTTTTTTTTCCAAGCGGGAGCGGGTTTATTCAGGAGATAGAGCAAAGGTGGGGAGAGAGAAATGGGAGAAGATGGCGGAGAAAGAGCAAGAATCATTTTTTAAAAAAGATATATCTTTCAAGCTTAATGTAGTTATTACATTCTCAACAGTCATGCCAGCCAATGGTGGTACATACCTTTAATTTCAGCATTTGGGAGGCAGAGGCAGGCAAATCTCGAGGCTGGCCTGGAGCAGAACAGCCAAGGACTACACAGAGAAACCCTGTCTGGTAGAGGTTGGCGGGGTGGGTGCGTCGAACAATCCTAAGGTTTTCTGTTTCACGTGTCATGGAAGCTGCTGGAGTATTTTAAGTGACTCCCCTCTTATGGCCACCCAGGGCAAAGTTTTCTTAAATTATATCCCCAGGATTTTCAAGTATTTTTAAGATGAGGAAGGAAAGTTATGTTTTGGTGATGGGTCTTCCCATGATCACAAACGCAACCCCACTCACATGAACAATTTCCAGCCCCTGTCCCCCACAACTTCCAGTTTCAGACTCTTCCAACATGTGTGTCAATGGCAAATGTCTTGCCCAAGAACTGAGCTACCTTTCGCTGCTACGGAACGAAAGCCAGGGCTGGGGAATTGTGACTGTCTGTAGGAGAGAAAGTGGTCTCCTAGCATGGGCAATGGTCTGTGCCCTGGATCAGAAAATAAATACAGAGGGAAAAAAAAAACCCAGAGAATGTACCTAAATAGCAAACTTGTAACTATCCTGTATTAACCGTGTGCCCATTTCTACAATGGAGCCAAAATTAAGAAGGCTCCCCGTAGAGAAACAATTCTATCAGTACAGGTCGGGATCACTTCTGAGGGAAGCCCTCAGTAACCAAGAGCTTGACTGCATAATATAATGTAAACTGACCTTGGGACTGAAGAGAGGGCTCAGTGGTTAACAGCATTTGCTGCTCATCCAGAGGACCAGAGTTCAGATGCCAGCGGCACCATCAGGTAGCTACAGCCATCTGTAACTCCAGCTCCATGGGACCTGACCCTCTTGTCTCCGCAGGGTACCTGCACTCACACAAACATACGCACATGCAGACACATACATAAAGTTAATACAGATAAATCTTTATTGCATAAAGCCCATCATCTCCAAGGCAGCCACACATACAATGCTGTCATGATGGTTCTTTGCAAACAGCTTGCTAATAAAGCCTCTATTCGGCATTCTGAGTGTCCTCGAGGGTGACAGACACATCTTTCTTCTTTGAGGCTGTCGTTCATTCTGCTAATGACCTAGTCATCCATGATCAAGTCTTGTGAGCCAGGTGGCATGAGGACAATAGATACCGCAGACTGTATTTTCATTAATATCCGAGACTAACCACAGACTATACTACCACGCTGTACATGATTCACGCATTGGTTCCAAAGTGACTGCAGAAATATGAAAGAAGTGTGGCAGACAGCCTTTCCCAACTGGTATCTACTATTTGTTGGACAGTTTGCAAAGCAGTCTAACAGAGCATGCAACATCATCTCACTGTTTCCCAGGAAACCCTCATGAGGTAGGTGTTCCAAAGAGTCTCAGAAGAACACACCACTTGCCCACTCACCACTGCTAGGGAGAAGCCAACCTCTGTCTCGCATGAAGAGATGACCTTTACATGGACAGACTGTATCCCTAAGTAGCAGCACCAGGTTCTGACTCCCATATGAGATCATTGTCACTTTCTGAAAACAGGTGTCTCTACCTAATCCTTGCAACCTGTGGTCTGCTGCTAATGCTTTAAAAAGGCATTGTCAGTGAAGCTGCCCAACCAGCCCTCTGAAACAAGACACCATGTCTTAGCAAACTAGACTGTGAGAGTTGTTATCTTACAGCTCTCCTCTGGGATAGGGACAGAGGTGCTAGCACCACACCATCAAAAGAACAACCTAACACTCATCAGTAGCACATTCAGTTATGAGACACCCATTCAATGGAATCGTACATAGTTAACAAAGGGGTAAGGTTAACGTACTGACAGGAGAGGTTCTCCATGGAGAATAAAAAAGCCAGCCAAGCATGATGGAGTCACCTTGAATCCCAGTACTCAGGAAGCAAAGGGCAGGTGGTTCTCTGTATGAAGCCAGCCTGGTCTACATAGTGAGTTCTGGGCCAGCCAGGGCTACATAGTGAGGCCCTGTCTCAAAAAGCAAGCAAATGAAAGAAAAGAAAAAGAAAAAAAAAAAAGCTTTAAAAAGAACAGCTGGGCATGGTGATGTCATGCTGTCATGATGGTTCTTTTTTGCAAACAGCTTGCTAATAAAGCCTCTATTCGGCATTTTGAGTATCCTCGAGGGTGACAGACACTTATGATCCCTTCACCTGAGAGGCAGAGGCAGGAGGATCAGAGGTTCAAGGTTATCATGGGCTTTATGACACTGTGTAAAAACAAAAATGAAAGGAAGAGACAAAAATCATATATACACACACATACAAACACATATAAACATGTATGCGTGTATATGTGTGTGTGTGTGTGTGTGGGCGTGTGTAACAAAAAAACAAAAACAAAACCACATGTGTGATTAGACACTCTTTCTCAAAGGCACACACAAACTTGACACCAGGGATTGCCTGAGGAATTGTACCTGGGAACAAGACAGAGGCTAAAAAGAACCTTCATGTGATATCACTTTCCTGTCATCTCCTGTGAGAATAGTTAACTTTAAAAATATTTTTTAAGTAAAAACATTACGGATAGGCTGGACACCATGGTGCACACCTGTAGTTCCAGCACCAGGAAGCTAAGGCAGAAGGATTGCTTGAGCCCAGGAGCTCAAGACCACCCTGGGTAACACTGTGAGAGTGTCTTTTAAAAAATAAAGATGATGACGTTTGATGATCCGTCCTGACTCAGGGAAAGACGCTTCAATTGTGGGGAGATGCAGAATCTTCCCCAAGAGACACATTTTATCACATATTTGGACCACACTTCTCTTAGATGGATCACTGTAAAGTTATACAGTTAGTACAAATTTTAAAGTAAAAAAAAAAAAAATAACAAACAGTAGCATTCGATCAACAGCTTCTCACTTATCTGCCCATCCTGTTAAGTGAAAACATAAAGAATTGTTCTTTTGACAGCAGACTCAGTTCAAATATATCATTAAGGAAAAACACAGACTAAATAGACTGAATTGTACTCAGACAACAGTTACTTTGCATGTTTTAAATTTTCCCAATTTTTTTTTATAGAATTCATAAAATAGTTTCTTCTTTAATGACCAGAAAATGATTTATTGTTTAAATTATCAATCATGGAGCTCCTTGATAAGAATATATAATAAATGGATAAATTCACCAGAAACTGGATACTGATTTTAATTACCTTAACAAAATTTAGTTTGTCTAGCAAGCTCCTATTATCACTCCTAGACAGTAAATCCACAGCAGCTATCTGAATCCATTCGTTTCTTGACAACAGGTGGTAGGACTCCCGAGTCACAGGTGAGTGAGTACTAGTTATGGTTGTGTTTGCTAACCTAGCACCATAGTTCCAGTCTTAGGACTCAGAAACAGCTGGACAGAAGATATGGGAGGAGGGGAGATGCTGCCAACATGAAGCTTCTGGCCCGTGCCAGATCTGAAGCAACACGCAGGGTCTGAGACCAAAGAGGAACACAGCTTTGGATGTGGCTAAGAAGGAGGCAGGCCCCCCGGGATGAAATTGGTGGGTCCAGAATGCAGTGCCAGGCAGGCATCAGGAACTAGGGGGCTTCTTCTTGGCTTCCAGGTCCTTTTTAATCTCTTCAAGTTTTTTAGCCAGGTTTGGCATCTTTAAAAAAAAAAAAAGGAACATTATAATCTAGCTATAGGTAAAAAGACTAGAAAGACTAACCAGTATCTTTCACCTCTATTCTTTTAAGGACAAAAGGCTTTGCCAAGGCTTTGGTTTCCTCTGGAGACTTACTCAGTGGTATTTCCTGGGCTCATACCTACATACATAAGCTATCAGTGTTAGATTTATATTCCCGCTCTGAAAGCCAGGCCCAGCTCTCCCTTAGACACACACTCAGCCCTTCAAGTGCCAGCTAAAGGAAGTGTATTTATAAGCAACAGATAATAAAGCAATGAAGTCCCTGTCCCTCCAGACAGAAGAAAACACAATCCTGCGTCTCCCTGAAGCACATTCGAGGCTCCTCATCTGGCTTCAAACAACAGAAAAGCTTCTATAAAATTAAGGAGTCACATTTACAGACCTCATTTATGCTAGTAGGGCAAGCTTCACCTTGAGAGAGAAAAAAATCACTATGAAATGGTTACAGGAAGCCAAGAAAGAAAGACGTGAATGTGGCCACTTACGTCATAGTTCTGAGCCAGGTACATTCCAACCACGTTGCCCAAAGTAAATCCAAGCTGAAAGAACAGAACGAGAGAGTTATACTGCAGACAAAACCCATCACGAGCCTGCAGCCAAGTCAGAGACACGCAGGCTACGTCTTCTGAAGAAGTGCATGGCAGGTGAATGCTCAGGTTCTCAGTGCAGGAGTGCACACAACACAGAAGTCACATCTTCCTTCTATGAAACAATCCCGCACACATATGCCATGCACCAACATTAGAACAGAATAAATGGTGGCTTGGAGCAAGTTTCCCCGTCCCTTGAAAGCCCCCATAAAGTCCTGAATGGAGGTCTGGAAGCCAGTGTTCTGAGTTTGTTACTATTACTTTGTTACTCTTTGTTGTTGGTGCTGTTGTTACTCCTGTACACAGCTGATTAAAAAGTATTCACTTGCAAACACCCACTGGAGCTGGGCATGGCAGCTCACATTTGTCATCAGCATTCAGGATACAGAGGCAGGAGGATCCTTGGCAGGGAGAGGCCATCCTGGCAAACAGAGAGAGTCCCAGCTACACAGCAAAAGTCCCACCCCCACACAAGACTTGGTCTCAAAACGACAACAACAACAACAAAAACCCATTTGAATCAAAAAAGTATAGAAAATAAAGGGGCTTTCAGAGTTTAGTTTCTTCTTATTTCAAAAGAACTATTGTGATTTGCCCAGGGTTATTCAAAAAGGCAGCAGCAGACAACCTGAGTTACTCAGAAACTCAGATCCATGAGGGCAGAGAACAGGAAACTCTGATGAATCCCACACCAAGGGTGGGGACTAAAGGCAGGACACTTAAGGTCTGTGGCTCCCACTCAACACCAAAAGGGACAGGAACAATTTTTAGAGAACTGTAAATGTTTATCCCACTGGGTGAGTATTCTCCTAAAAATGTAGAATATTCCATATACACAAATGGGCCAGTGTTCCACAGCTATGCATTTTAACGATAATTCTGATTTCCCCTAGAGACTTTTTACTTCAAAGCTTGCAACTGTGGGCTAATTTCTAACTTAATAATTCAAATTGACATCTACTCTCTTCCCCCATTATTTTGTTTAAACGGTGTTGGTTCTACTCAGTCTCAACAGAGAAGTTAAGACAGAAATCAAAGAACAGCACTAACTGTCCCATCAATCACACATGAGGTGCCTCCCTGAGCGTCCAACTAGATGAAGGTGAGGGAAAGATCCAGATGGGGTGCTGCAGAGATGGCTCAGCAGTGAAGAACACTGCGGAGGACCAGAGGGCCAGAGTTCAGTTCCCATCACCCACCTCATTCAGCTCACACTGACTCCAGCTCTGGAACCAACACTTTATTCTACCCTCTGCCGGCATTCACACGCCAGTGAACATACTGCCCACCACCACCTCCTCTACCACCACCACCATTAAAAATAGTAAAAATAAACCCTAAAGGGGGAAACAAAAAAAAAGAAAAGAAAGAAAGAAGGAAAAGAAAAACAAGAAATACAACTGGTTTTGTCTTATACTTAACCTTTAAATCCAAAGTTAATTTTAAATTGGTTGGTTATTATCAAGAAACATAAAAGAAGCTACCTAGTTTCTAGACACTAATCATTTTCTGATGCTTTTTAAAAGTCATTGCAAAGGTAGCAATAAGAATCAGAATTACATCTTTTCCACTCTAGTAGATTCAAACCTCAACTTTTTGAAATCCAGAAAGATAATTAAATTAGAGACAAAATTTAAAACGAGAGGAAACCATCCTTGGTGATGCTAATCCTAACTGGGATGAGGAACCGTGAGAAGCAGTAGTAACACTAAGGTCTGGAGACTGCGCCTTCAGGTGGGCCACTCACCTGCTCCAGCTGTGCAGAACTTCCTCATCTCTAAAATAGTCTAACACTGAAATGTCCAGCTCAGACACAGAATTCCTAACTCTTACTATGTGTGTCTCAAAATAAACACAGGCTATCTACAGTGGCTCTATTTTGGCAATGTCACCAAGCATTGGAGCAGAAAAGGGAACAGTTATTTTAGAACACAAAGCAAAACAAAACCCATGGCCTCTATAAATGGCACCCCATTCCAGTTTCAAAATAGTACCAGATCTACAACGAGACATTTTAAATATGATGCCGAGCAGAACGCGAAAAGTGTCCATCATTCAGAAAAGTGATGGAGAACCCAGGAGGTCAGGGAAACATGCATGCTTCAGGAGATGGTCAACAGGTAGGAAAAGACAAGAAAAGTGAATCTAAACCTCCACATCTGCCAAGTAGTCCTGTATAGTCATGTGTATACACACACACACACACACACACACACACACGAAATAAATAAAAACGTAAACATGTTTGCCCTTCTGATAATGCCCTCAAAGAGAAAGGATAAACCACAAAATAGAATTATTTGCAAATCACAACCTGATGGTATTTTTTATCCAGAATAAAGGTCTTCCACAATTAAATGACAAAGAAACATAATTCAATTTAAAAACTGGGCAAAAGCTGTGAGTGAATTTCTCCAAAGACACACAAACAACAAGCCTACGAGACATTGGACATCAGTTAGTCACTGAGGAAACACAAATCAAAACCATGAGGAACCATGGCACACCCACTAAGATGGCTTTACTCAAAAGCAGCAAAACAAAACAAAATGAACAACAAATGTTAGCAAGACATGGGATGGAGGTCTTTATACACCACTGGTGTATAATGCATGGCCACTCTGGGAAACCACCTAGCCACTTCTTAAGGAGCTGCACACAGTTATAGGATGTGACAGCTCCAGTGTGGGTATGCACCAAAAGGTGGGACATAAACCCCCACAAAGACGCCTACATCAATATTCCTGGCTTAGCCACTCCTAACAACCAAGAGCGGAAACAAGTGGAGAGTTGATTAACATGTACGCGTCATAAGGAGAAAGGAAGCGCTCACTGCTCCATGCCGTCTATAGAGGAGTCTTGACAGTGTGGTCAAGGGCAGTCAGAAAAGACCACACTCTGTATGCTTCTACTAAAAAACTACACAAAACAGAAATTCCACGGTGATACAAAATCAACTGCTGACTGTCCAGGTTGGAGAGACAGTACACAATCTCTGAGCACACTAAAGTCACTGAATTACATACATGAAATGGATGAACTTTTGTCTCAATGCCAAAAAAAAAACAAACAAAAACAAAAAATATCATCAAAATTTGGTAAAGTAATCTCAACTACCTGGGGTGAAATAGAAGAAACCAAAGACAACTTCGGGGCTTCCAAACTGGACTTCTTTAGAAAGAATGGAAATTCCAGAGGAGCAAAGGAGAATCAGTACAGTAAATGGAAGAGTCTGTACGTGAGAAATCTAAACTATTCTAAGGGTACCTTTTTTTTTTTTTTTAACACACAAACAGATCGATCAACAATGGTTTATCCATTAACACTAAAAGGCTCTGTTAAAAAGCACAGCACCTACTCCAAAACAGACGAATCTGTCATCTGCTCAGGCCCTTCCCTTTCAGAAAGTTGTGTCTGGAGACCAGCAAACAAAACCACAATGTTTATCTGGGATGGCTTCTGGCAAAACCCCAAAGTGGCTGACAAGTCCGAATGTGACTCATCAAACTATATTTTCAAAAATAACACACCCAAGCCCAAGTTACTGATAAAAGTTTAAGAATCTTAAAAAAAAAAAGGGTGGGGGGGCTGGAGAGATGGCTCAGCCACTCAGAGCTCAGGCTGCTCTTCCCAGAGGACGAGAGCTCAGCCCCCATGCAGTGTGAACAGAGGCCAAAAGAGAACATCAGATCCCCTAGGGTTGGAGTTACAGATGCTGTGAGCCTTCATCAGTGTACAGCAAATCGAACCCAGGTCCTTTGGAAGAGACCAGGGCTCTCAACAGCTAAAGCATCTCTCCACCCTCAGTAACAGTATTCTTAAATTCAGATTCAAAAGAAGAAATCAGAAGGCCTTCCAAGGAGGAACGTACACACACTACCATTTCTGTTTTTAAACTCAGTGTGAAGACTATCATCAATAGTTTAATAGCTACTTCAAGTAGTTTAAAAAAAAAAAAGACCCACCTACATTCTGTGCATTAAAGCAAATCCTTGCTAGTACTAAAGCCCTTCAATGCTTCCTAGAAAAGCATGCTATGTTTTATATTCAGTAATACTGCTTAGAGAATAAAAGAAGAAGAAAAAAACAAGAACTATCAGTAACTCCTTAATGTGCCAATAGTCAACAGGAGAACGTGAAAATTTTCTGGGAAAGGTGTGTACTGGTTTGCCTGCTCTAAAAGAAGATGGAGCAAATATTCCACTATCTTATAAACAACAGTAGTAATGAAGTGAAAAAAGGAAGACCTACAATTAATGAGGGGATCCATCCTAGGACACCCTCAACCCCAACATCTGTAGCTATTCAAGCAGGTCATACACAGGGACCCACCCATATCATCCAACACACTCTAACCCTCTTGATCACTCACAATACCTATTGCAATGAAAGGCGTGAGGCAGTCTATCTCACTGCACTGTTCAGGACCGGCAAGGAAAGACTGTACACATGCCGTATACATAAGCGACTATCTTCTAATGTTTTCCATCCGCGGCTAGTTAAATACGCAGATGGGCCCAGCAATACTCGGGGTTGACTGCAAATGAAGTCAGTCATTGCGTATTGACTAAGTCCCTTTATATCCCCAAACTAAACCCTTTAGTAGCAAGGAGAAGCAGCAGCAAGTCAGCCAGACTGGAGACCCTGCTAGTTCACAGCCCGCGTTCCACAGCACAGAGGAAATAACTCACCCTGAACAGAGCAAGCTTTTGTGAGTCAGCCATGGAGACCGGATGGCCTACATGAAAGGTAATATTCTAACCTTTCATTAACTCTTGATCCTCACAAACACGCATACACAGAATAACCACTAATACTGCCCAGGTTTATGCTGGGGAAACTGAGGCACAGAGTAATTAAAGATCCTACTCAAGACTACACAGCAGGTCTCAGGAAAACGGCTCAGCAGGGAGCCACCCTTGCCACCAAGCCTGGCAACCTGAGTTCAATCCCCAGAACCGGTATTGGGGAAGCAGAAGAACAACTGCTGGAAGCTGTCCTCGGACCTCAACACTTGCTTGCCCCCACAGGAGAGGTGTTCACAGTAATCAATAGACAAACGGATGCAGTGTAAGAAGGAATCTTTGCTGTGAAGATGCACCTACTGTATTACATGATTTTAAGAAAAGATTAGATAAACAAGTGAATACACGTGTCAGGCATGTAATATCAACAGTAAAAGTTTTAATGAATAAAATGAATTAAAAGAAAGAGATCAAAGATTATGTCAACACTTCAAATGTGAGAGTTAAATGTGGCAGTTCAACCAGACGAGCAGAGGCTGAGAGAAAGGAAAGGAGAGACACTGACAGTCGTTACTAGGGATCGGGAAGCACAGGAGACTCAAGGTTGTTCTGGAAGCTGCTGTGAAAGGTGCTGGCCTAAGAAGGAGCCTATTCCCTAAGGGTAAGGTTAAGGCGCACAGCCAAGCTCAGGACTTGAGCAATTCACAGGAACTAAGAGCAGAAGCAAGCAGCCAGTGACAAGATTAGAGACAAGGAGGGAGCCTCCCAGCTGCTACACCCAGATACGGTCCCCTCTGCAAGAGCAGTGGCCAGTCACCCTCACTCCACAATTCTGAGTTATCACATGACAGCACAGTACACAGGCCCCAGAAGCTGAAAGGGGATGAGTTAGGAGGAGGTGATTTAAGTTGGCACCTGCTTTGGGGCCCCAAGGGTAAGAGGAACAGAAACTGTAGCAGTATTCAGGTGCTGTGACGCTCACGGCAGTGCTCATAGTCCAATTCCCACCTAAGAGCTCCTTAAAAGAACTTCAGCCAAGCTAGGAGCGAGCTGTGGAAGGCAGTGTGCAAACAGGGAGACTGGGGATGCATTTTCATCGGAGGGAAACAGCAAGCAACACAATCAATTACAAAAGTTTTCAAGAGCCCTCTAGACAACTACTTAGGCAACATCTTAGAGGTTACAAAGTATTCAGCTGCCCGGCATCATCAAAGTGAAGAGCTTGGACTCACTGCATCACAGCCAACCCTCTCCTATCGCTTCTGAAACCTTACAAAACAGAAAGAGCAGTATCTCAACCATTATGAAGTGCTAATGTTTTAAGTGTTTAATGATTTGGCTCCTTCTGAAACCTCAGAGGGTACAAACTGAAGCATAGAAAATTTAAATAATCTGCCAACACCCTCCCCACACACACATCCAACACACACCCCTTGAGATTAAGGATAGGGTACAAATTGAAGTGTGATTCTAGAGTCTAAACTCTTAAACGTTAGAGAACAGTTGAAATGGCTAATGTAAAAAAGCAAGATTTGCAGAAGTTAAAAGTGTTTGGCCAAGTTTCACAAGAGAAAAGTTGACTCCACTTCTGTACATCTGTATCGGTTTTCCTCAATAAAAGCAGTGAAGAGGAGACAGACCCAGAGCAAGAGAAAGAACATCAGTTACATCTGAGCTACGAATCTAATGGTTAGCTTCAGCATCTCTCCTTAAATGTTGAAAAATTTGAATTTTCCAATCAAAACCCATGTAAGTACAAAGCAGTTGAGTCCCGCACCAAATAGACTTAGTCAGCAAAGCGCTTAAAAAGTTAAGAGTAATATTGAATTAATGTTCTCCCTACTTATCAATGAGCAACAAAGGCAGTGGAAGGGCCAATCATATCACCTTACACTAGCTGGTTGATGCTGCTTTTAAAAGTGATTCCTAACAAGTAAATTACTGCTAATTATTCCTATCTCCTAAACTAAGGCCTAGTTAGGACACTAGAGAAACCCCCAGAGGCAACTGAGTCTTTGTAGGGCAGTTTATGTCAACAATCCTGTTTAGGCTAACGGGATTAAAAAGCAACTCATTCTCGGAGCACCAGGTAGCCACTGGCCATCTGAAAGAAGGTATCTGCTTTATTAGAATTAGAGGATGAAACACTTTCATCTAAAGTGTTTGAAAACTTTCATCTGAAAATTTGACTGGCAAGTTTCCCTAGAATCTTCAACAGGCAATTTTAGAAATAATTTAGCTTTCTGCCAGAAAACGTGTTAACTCAAAAAGGAGACTTGAAACGTTGAGGGGAGGGGGAGGTTTATACAAGAGTTTCTTGTATGGCAGTCTGACTCACACTCCTCAAAGCGGGCAAACTGTAAAGGTCTGAAGAGGGAGGGCACTGTGGATCGCTCGCTCCGACCTCGTGAAAGGCATGTGAAAGGCACTCTAGGGCCTCAAAGAAGCCGAGCATAATACACCGGGTCTACTGGGGGTCGCGGGGAGAGGACAGGAGCCAAGTCACTAAGGGCCAAACTTACGAGGATTACGCAAAGAGCTCACAGTAAGTGGTTTCTGAAAACGCAGTAATATCACTGACACCCCAAAGTTTTTGGAATTTGAGTGACTGCAATATAAACCCAGGCAAAGACCCAAGGGCTTAAGAGGAGGCCAGAGGAAAACTGCGCGAGCAAACCCGAGGGGCGACGACAGGCTCGAACCCCGACTCCAGAGCTGTGCACCGCCGACCCGGGACCCCGGGAGGACGAGGCGTCCGCGGGGCCCGATCCTCCGAGGCCCCACTCACCAGGAACTGGAGCATGATGTCGGTGGGGAGGGCGAGGAGGGTGTGAAAGGCGCTTCGACTCCAGCTCGGCTCCGGGACTCCTCCCCAGCGCGAGGGCGGAACCCGCCGCCAGGTTCCGGTTTCCGCCCCGCCCCGCCCTGCCCCGCCCTCTCCGTCCCGGAAGCGACTCGCGGAGCCGCAGCGCCCTCTGACGGTCGTCTCGGGAAGCAGGAGGGCTAGGTGCAAACGCAGGCCTCTTTGAACCAGTCTCCGTAAAGCTGGCATGAATTCACATGACAAGGACGCTGGCAATTGTTTTAACACAGTCAGAAGCAGGACTCCCTGGCCTACTAAACCAGGGTGGGGGTGAAGTAATGGACTCCATGCCAGGTGAGCAACCGACTCTCCTGGGAGCCTTTACGAAGTCCACACCAATCCCCGCCACAGCCGACTCTCAGAGGAAAAGTGGGGAAAGGTTCTATTTTTCAAAACCCCACAAGTGTATTATGCAGCCTAGTTAAGGGTAGTCCTCAAACCCGTGAGAGATGATGGAGAGAGATCTTCGGAGTCTGGCACGACTGGATCCAAGTAGTGATTGCTGGCAGCCACCAGCAACCGCCTAATCCATCTAAATGTACTACTGCCTCAAGTGGAGCGCGAATCGTCTAGCATGGAGGAGCCAAAGATGAATCCACTCTTGTCCTGTCGCACTGCTGGCCACCCCCATGCACAAGCACATTGAGACCGCCCTTCTCACTTTGCTCTCAGTCTTTGGAATTCACCTTTATCTAGTTAAGTGGGACTCTGGCTTCAAAAAACAGAAAACAAATCATAGCGGGGAGGTCTAGTGGGGTATGTTAAGCCTCAAACCCTGAGACAATGGCTGAGATGACTATTTAACCTATCAAAGTGGACCTGGCCTCCTGGTCCTCTCCCATCATCCCTCAGTCCCTACCTGTTACAGGGTATGGCTGGCACATGCAGCCCTCTACTGTAAACTCACCAGCCCAGGGGCTGGGCTGCCTTTCCCCCTGAGGCTTTTCCCTATATAATCCAACCATTTTGTTTCTTTTACCCAAACCTTTTGTTCCTTTGCCCTTAGGGCCCCTGTACCTCATTCTGCCACCTCTCCCCTCCTCTTTTCCCCTCTCTGTGTATGGCCCAGCTCAGTCAAGGTCAAGTCCTCTGGGTTCCCAGGTGTCCTTGCCTTTAGAACTGTCTTCCTTTCATCTACAATAAACTTTCTCCTCCACCATACCTAGACAAGCTCTCTATCAGAATTTCCCTCCATTTCTGTTTCTCCATCCATTCACTTAATTCTCGCCCTCTCCCTCCTCCCAGCTCCTCTGCTAAACTGACAAAAGAGCTAATTAGAGGAAAAAAATAGATAAAACATAAAGATCACACACCCCCACCCCCCAAGGAAAAGGTCAATAGGTTTGGCATACTAAAATGTATTTAAATTGAGAAAAATAACCCAGTGGACTTTATTATCTACAGAGGACGTGGGGTGGGCATTCTGAACTTATATAATCACTTCTACCCATTAAAAAAACAACAACACCACAATGTTCTGGTTAGTTTCATGTTAACATGATACAAACAAGAGTTATCAGAGAGAAGGGAGCCTCAAGTGAGAAAATACCTCCTCTAAGAAGATCCAGATACAAGACATTTTCTTAATCATTGATCAATGAGGAAAGGCCCAGCCCATTGTGGGTGGAGCCACCCCTAGGCTGGTAGTCCTAGGTTCTATAAGAAAGCAGGCTGAGCAAGCCAGGGGGAGGAAGGCACTAAGCAACACTCTTCCATGGCCTCTGCAACAGCTCCTGCCTCCAGGTTCCTGCCCTGTTTGAGTTCCTGTCCTGCCTTCTTGAGATGATGAACAGTGATATGTAAGTGTAAGCAGAGTAAACCCTTTCCTCCCCAACTTGCCTTTTGGTCATGGTGTTTCATGACAGCAACAAACTCTAACACACCCAACAAAGGAAAAAAAGAAAAGCAAAAAGAAGGGCCAATAATGCACACAAAGGAAGCCGAGTAAGATACCACTTTACAAGCATCAGATTGATTTTTAAAGTACAATAATTAGGGTTGTGAGATGGCTCGGTCAGTAAAGTGCTTGCCACACAAGCATGAGGACCTGAGTTCCGGTGCTGGGCAGAGAGATTGAAAATCTCTGGGGCTTGCTAGCCATCGAGCCTAGCCCAAATCCATGGATTCCAAGCCAGTGAGAGACCCTGTTTCAAAAAGTAGGATGCAGAGTACCTGAAGTGTGACATCTGAGGCAAACCTCTGATCTCCACTAACACATACACATATAACAATTAGAGGTGTGTACTGGCTGGTTTTATGTGTCAGTTTGACATAAGCTGGAGTTATCACAGAGAAAGGAGCCTCCCTTGAGGAAATGCCTCCATGAGATCCAACTGTAAAGCATTTTCTCAATTAGTGATCAAGGATGGGAGAGCTCATTGTGGGTGGTGCCATCCCTGGGCTGGTAGTCCTGGGTTCTATAAGAAAGCAAGCTGAGCAAGCCAGGGGAAGCAAGCCAGTAAGTAACATCCCTCCATGGCCTCTGCATCAGCTCCTGCTTTCTGACCTACTTGAGTTCCAGTCCTGACTTCCTTTGGTGATGAACAGCAGTGTGGAAGTGTAAGATGAATAAACACTTTCCTCCCCAACTTGCTTCTTGGTCATGATGTTTTGTACAGGAATAGAAACCCTGACTGAGACAAGGTGTTATCAATGGTGTGACAAATTCAAGATTTCTCACCCTGTAGGTAAGACTACATTGGGCAGACACTAAGAAAAAGAGCAATGGCTGGTGAAAACAGGACTCCTAACTTCCCAGCAGGATTTCCTCTTCTAGTTACGTATGTGCAGAAGCCCTATTACGTGGCATGTCTCACCAAGGAAATATGTATATATATATATATATATATACTAAGGATGCCAACTGACAAAATATGTCTGTGGATCCCATTACAGTAAAAGGCAGAAATCGGAGCATTTGCACAACAGGTAACTGTAACTATTCAATAATTATAAGAATGCAAAACTCTCAAAAAGGATACTGAATGAAAAGCAATTTATGAATTGTTTCGTACAGTATGAAAAATATACTGTATTTTGCTCTGCAAAGTAATAGTATTTAAAGCCTATGAAGTATCAAACATGAGTAAGAAGAAGCAAAGAATTAAAAGATGTTATGCTCTGGGAGGAAAGCAAGGGAGGAGGCTCAGGCAGTCACGGGAGACTAACCCTATTGTACTCTCACAAAGGACCTGGAACAAATGAGCCACTATGACCCACTGTGAGCACAGGTGTAGGTTCATGTGCCTGCGCACATGCAGAAGCCAAAGGGGGGCATCTGATATCCTGTGCTATTACCTGCCTGCTTCTTTCCCCCAGAGCTAGGCTGATGACTGGCTAGCAAGCCCCAGAAAGCCCCTTCCTATCTATGCTCCCCAGCACTGCAGCTGTAGGCACCTATGCCACTATCTCCAGCTTTTTATGTTGCTTCCTAGGTCCAAACTCCTTGCTTGTGTAGCAAGGACTCTTACTCACCCTGCCATTTCTGCAGCCTGGAACTGAGTCATTTTAAGGTATAAAATTATAAGTGTGATGTCAGAGAAGACCAGATATCCAGGTTTGTTATACTTATCATAGCACTTTTAATTGAAATGACATACAACTTTTAATTAATTCATATAAAGAATTAATTCAACGATTAGAGGTTTTCCTGGGACTGAGATACTCAGCCTGAAAATATCAGCTACAAATCAGTTATTCTAGGAGATGGTAATCTTTACATTTAACCGAAAGGTCACTGGCTGTCAAAGGACACATCGACGTGAACTTCTTGATGTATCTCTGAGGTATCTTGATGTATCTCTGACATGCCGAGGGCATGTCACCTGTCAGGTTGATTCTGGTGGAAAATACTTAACATGACTCTAATCAAAAGGCAAGAATGTAAGCTCTTTCTAAACCGCTAAAACCTGTCAACTTCTTGCCCTCTTAGAAAAAGAGGACCACCAAGGGCTGCAGATACAGATGATTAAAGAGGTAAATAAATGTGCCATGTGGTTTTTTTTGTTTTGTTTTGTTTTGTTTTTTAAGGTTTTTCTGAGACAGGGTTTCTGTGTAGCACTGGCTGTCCTGGAACTTGCACCCAGCTTTGTGTGATTCTAAACTAAGTTTTAAAGACAACTGAAGAAATCTGAATACAGAAGAAATACTAGAAAGCACTGAGTTTTATAGTAAAATGTCTAAAACATGGAAATGATATTAGTTAAGAAAAATATCCTTAAGAATCATTTAGGCATAGGTTAACAACTGAAGGAAGAAACCTAGAATAAATATACATTTAGGAGAAAGCACTATTGACAACTAGTGTCTGGATGAAAACGGGAGGCATCCTTTGGACACTGCTCCCAGCTCTTCAGAAGATCCAACATCTTCAAAATAACGTGGAGAAAGTGGAATTTAGAAAAGGCTAAATTCATGCCTTGTACAGCATAGACAAAACAAAATTTGTCAAAGCTACAGTAATAAACACTATGAAGAGAACATACCTTTCTGGATTACCAACCAGTTATACTGATTTAACTGAGTAAAAAATGAGTTAAAAGTCCTACATTAACTTTGTCAGGAATAAAAGCCTTCCCTTTAAATACCAAAGCTCTGTAAATCGGTGTCTAAAACCTGATTCTCTCCCCTTCACTTTGCACAGGAACACATAAATAACATCTTCTTCCCATGTCTCCTGAATCCGGGCATTAGCCAGGCCTTCCTACTTCTTCTACCCATTACCCTCTGCTGCATGAAGTAGCAATTCTGGTCTGATGCTGCCGCCACTCCCTCCCACACACTTTCCCTCTGCCCTGCTGACCTCCAAGTTTGTCCCCTGCACTTCTAGAAGAACTGATGAGACAATAAGGTGATGCTGTGGCAGTAAGATGGCCCAGTGCATAAAGACACTTGCTACCAAGCTCAACAGCCCGACACCCTCATGGTGAAAAGAACTGATTGCCCCAAGATGTCCTCTGACCATGCACAAGCTATGGTTCCCTTCAGAAGCTCTGTATCTCTCACAGGCTTACAAAATGCCCAGGTTTT